AAAGAAAGAAAGAAAGAAAGAAAGAAAGAGAGAGAGAAAGAAAGAAAGAAAGAAAGAAAGAAAGAAAGAAAGAAAGAAAGAAAGAAAGAAAGAAAGAAAGAAAGAAAGAAAGAAACATGGCTGGTATTTTTTTTTAAAAAAAATCACCAGCTCCACTTAAATATAGGCCAGCTGCTTTCTGGGAGGGCATTCATGTAACCTTGACATTAGAAGTTAGTAGGAAACATACTGGTAGGCTTAAAGGCTTGAAGGCATAGGGTTGGTGGCAAGAAGGCAGGTAGATTCAAATCCGGGTCTCCTGAGACCTAGTCCATCACTCTATCTGTTAAACCACACTGGGTTGTATATGTATACAGTATAGATATGCATATAGATACAAATATATATATCCAGATCCAGTATCTGGGTCATGCTCCAAAAGATAGTATTTTGCCCTTCTAATGTTAGAAGTGTGAATCCAAATTCCCATGAACAACTAAGTTTCGTACAACAAATTGTGGCTTCAGCTTTATTCCAAGAATTTAAGAAATGCACTCAACATTCTGAGTAAATTGTTTTGGAAATAATTCAACATAAAAATGTGGCAAAATAAATGAAAAATATTAAAACCATTAATTTATTGCTGTAAATTATTATTATTTTAAAAAGAGAAATGGCAGTCATTCATTTTCAAAACTGATTTAAACCTCCTATTTCTGGGAGAAAATATGTTCTTTTTACTTGATTCAGGAAGTGGAATGGATAGGGCTCATGAATGTCTGAAAACACTTCTTTGCCTTCTGCCTACAGCATATGAATATTCTCCCTGTCTATTTCTCAGCTCTTGACTTAACAAACCTAGCCCTGTCATCTCTACCAAACAACTGAAATATACCCTCTTGTTAGGTGTAAAATCTTAAATAGTCCAAATACATTTTAGTAGACCAATGTTGTTTACATGTTGCAGCAGTATACTTTTCAATCTGCACAATACTCAAGTTCTCTTCTACCCTGTTTTTCATAAATGTTTGGAAAAGGTTTTGTTCTCCAGCTTTTGATTCTCCAGTTTTGGACTCCAGCTCCCAGAAGCTTTAGCTAGCAGGACCAACGGTAGAAGACATGAAGAGTTACAACCCCAAACTTTTTGAGAGCCAAACGGTGAGTACTGGTTCCATAGCCTAACCTTTTAGGAGTCAATCTGGTGATGAGCAAATGATGGCATCAGAGTCAACACGTTAATTGGGTTCTCTATAGCTTGTGTCTCAGAGCCTTGGAAGTATTCTATCATTTTATCCTCAAAAGGACACAATACCCACCCAACACCATCTTTCCACCATGTCCATTCTTTGACTTTGTTAGCACTGACATTTTTCTTGTGGTGGCTTTGTCTTCCTCTTAATACTGCTAGTTCTCCTATGAATGATTTTCACGCCATCCCATCCTTCCTGCAGGTCAATCTCCTTGTTTTTCAGACTCTCATAAATGGCACTGGCTATGGTTTCAAAGGCCAAATCTACGTTGATGTTGTTTTTGGCAGATGCTTCAATGAAACGTGTGCCCAGAGAAGTTGCCATTCCTTCTGCTTCCTCTGTGGTTACCCTGTTGATAGACTGAAGATCACATTTGTGGCCCACCAGGAGGAAAACGACCTTCTCCATAACATTGGTGACTTCATTGTACCACTCAAAGATGTTCTCAAAGGATCGCCGGTTCGTCATATCAAAAACAAAGAGAACTCCCACTGCATTCCGGTAGAAGGACCGAGTGATGCACCTAAGAACATAAAAAAGCAGATTTATTCCTCAGAATCTTCTTCCATGATGTTTTGCCTACCAAAATGCCAATCCATCATGCCCATGTCCAGAACTATAAAACATATTCATGTCTTGTGGATGAAAGTGCTTGTCAGTGTTTTATTTGTGAGATGGAAACAATTCTGACACAATTCATTCAAAATGGGATAACTGACTATAATTCATATTTATGCTCTGTTTTGAGCTGATTTAATTGGAAAATGCCCAATTTGATGATAGGATTGAATGTAGAAACATATTCTTTCAGTGCTTATGATATGCCACTAATAATAGTCTTTCTAATCAAAAACAAGTACTGTAATCTTCACTTACAGCAATGTTATGTTGTTTTTATTTATTGTGTGATTGTGTGTTCTGTGCTGTCAAGTTGGAACTGACTTACAGCAACCCTAACAGGCCTTTCAAAGTAAGTGAGATATTTAAGGAGCAGTTTTACTAGTTGTAATCCCTCTGTTTTCTGGAGAGTAGGGATCTGAACCCTGTTCTCCTAGTCCAGCACTCTGTTCACAACACCAGAGGTCTCCAACCCCAGTCCATGGCCTGGTGCTGGTCCATGGCCTGGGCTGGACCGGGCCACAGAAACAGACCTCCTGCCCCACCCCTGCATGTACTCACCCCCGCGCAGCTGATTTGTGTATGCGTGCGCTCCAGCATGCCTGTGAGAGTGCTGCGCCGCCGTTTGCGCATGTGCACAAGTGCCCGCACAAGCACTGCCCTGCCATTTGCACATGCGCACAAGCACGCGCATGCCTGCACAAGAGCCACACTGCCATTTGCACAGGTGCACAAGCACACACTTGTTTGTGCAAGAGAGGGCATGCGGTTGTTCGTGCATGCGCACGAACGCGGGGGGTGCCCTGCCTTCCCCAGCCGATCCACAGGGTGAAAAAGGTTGGGGACTCCTGCACTACACCGCAGTGGGAATCCCATTATTATTGTAATACTTGCTTATTAGAAAAGATATTCCTAGGGCTCTAGAAGTTAAATTAAGTGCAGAGGTTTCCAGGGTAGAGGTGATTTTCTTAGGAATTTCGCCAGGAATGACAAGATAAGGGACCAAGCCATGGCTGTTTCGAAAGGGGTAGCTTCGTTAACCTACAGCACTAGAAGCCAGGAGTTTTAATACCCTAGAGTCACGTTTTGTTATAACATTTCAATAGGAGTAGATTTGCAACAGAGGCATTTTCTGACATTGTCATTAGAAGAGTTAGAAACAGTATCCTCCAATTTAATCTGCTTACCATGTAGAGATAAGTTTTTCCTGCATATCAAGTTGAGCTTTTGCTAACAAAAACAAAAAAACCAACAGCAACCCAGGCAAAAAACAACAGAGATAAAAAAAATTCTCCCAACAAATCTACTGCATTTTTGCAGTTGAAATACTTTTTTCTCACACCCAGTGGATTGGAAACAAAAACTGTGCCATACCACTTTTTGATAAGCTATGACTCTGAGAAGCACAAGTGTTGGTTGTCAGTAGCCCCCATTCAGGAGGGGACATTTGAATTCTCAGCGCATTCAAGAAGTACAAGACCCATTAACCTTAAACCCAATCCTAAACCTAACTTTCAACATACTAGGATTCCCATGAGAAGTCACCCAGAAGTCCCTAAATTCACATGTTTTCAGACTGCTTGGGCAAAGGTTAAAGACCCAGTGTGGTGTGGTGTAGTAAATAGAGTGGCAGACTAGGACTCGGGAAGCCTGGGTTCAAATCCCCACTCAGCCACAGAAACTCACTGGGGGAGTGGGACGGGTAAATTCACTCCTTAAATATCTCACTTACTTTGAAAGTCCTATAAAGGGTCTCTATAATTCAGTTCTGCCTTGATGGGACAAAGCAACAAGCAACAATGGTTGAAGACAATAGCCACAATCCTATTGTAACAAAAATTGTGCAAGGGTGTTCTTGCCAGCTGTCAGTTATGTACCCAGTTGATTGTGCAACCAGGGGAAAGCCTGGGCACGTGACAGACAGACAACTAGGAAATATACCTGCCACTGCTTGTGCAGTTGACCTTATGGGATCACATATAATTGCAACAAGATTCTGGTCTAATGTATTTATTATAAGAGAAGACTTTGTTGTATAGAAACATGAAAGACCCCACTCTTTTGTTATTATTTGTTTTTATGATCTTTGCATACTTGCCGTCCATGTTGTTGCTATGTGCCAATAATTTCAAATTGACTTACAGAAACCCTAATAGGGCTTTCAATAAAAGTAAGATATTTAAGAAGTGGTTCTACCAGTTTCATGCCCCCAGTGAGGTTCCATGGCTGAGCAGGGATTAGAACTCAGTTTTCTAGACTGTCCTAGACTGTCCCATTATCCACTACACAAAACTGGGTACTGCCACCATCTATGACATAGATTCCATTTAAGTCAGAGGACGGCCCACAATCTTTAAGACAATGACTTAGAAGAAATAGGGAAAGTAGCAGGCTAGGCAAATGGGGAAAAACCAGAAGAAATACTTTGCAGGATTACAGCTCCAATAAATTACTGGTGAGAAAAGTAACATGTTAAAGTTCTGCAAAAGAATGTGCACTTATTTCAAGTTGCCCTTTATGAAGCTGCCCCATGCATTATTTTTTAAATTTTATTTTATTAATAGGGCCCTTGCATTGTTAATAGCTACACAAACAGACAGCAGTTCATCAGATAAATCATATATCAGTACTGACTCTGAAAAAGAGTTGATAGGAATACCATTGTCTTCATAAAATCAAAGTTTGGTCAGATTGGTGCAATAATTAACTCAACGAGGTAAGATACGGTTAGGCTTTTCTTGTCTGCCTGATAGCATTTGTTTCCCCTCCCAGTGAAAACACAGAGCCAAACAGAAATCGTCCTGAATCAACAGAACCCTCACCTTCTGATTCTAAATAGTCCTGAAACAATCACCTCCAATATGAAGCCAACTCAAGCAAGGTTATTGCTCTAGGTAGGCGAAGGGTACAGATACACTGTGAGCAAGGCAATGCGAGGATTTCCCTCCTTGCCATGAGATGGGAAGATTTGTGGAGAGATTTTTGTACATTTTTCAAAAATAAGTTACATTTAAAACTGTTGGTTTGTTTGTTTAAAATATTTTTACCCTGCCTTTCTTCTTTAAAAGAACCCAAGGCCACTGCAGTAATGATTGCCTCGTTTTGTGAATTAGTAGAAGCAGTAGCCTTGGATCGGTTGTCTGTATGCTTCTGAGCAATCAGCCTGCGCTGATTGCTCAGAAACATTGATTGAAATAATAAACCCTTTTGTTTATTATTTATTCAAAATATTTTTACCCTGCCTTTCTCCTTGAAAAGTACCCAAGGCAGCTTACATCATTGAAAGACAATGTTTAAAGGTAAAAAGAGTGAGTATATAATAATCAAAAAGGATAAAAATATTATCAGCTTTTAAAAAAGCAAGTCGAAAAACACATTCAAAACTCAACAATTCATTTAAGAACCCCACTCAAGCATCCAGTCACTAAGGGAAGCTTGCTGTACGCTTTCTCTGTGTTGATAATACAGTATTCATGAAGAGAAGATACACTAATTATGGAACCCCCGCCTCCAAAAGCCCACATTTGATGTCTCCAACTCCACTATAGCTGGACACATTAGTCTCTCAGTTTCCATTCATGAACCTCGAACTCCGTCTTGGGGGCTATAAGGTTGCAAGCAGCTGACTCAACTGATATTTGGGAGCTCTCTGCCTTAAGAGGGGCTGGCTCCAGGAGGAAATGGTCTCAGTCCTTTCAATGAGGGGAGCTGGCAGCTGATGCAGGACCATCTAGTCTTCTGATATTTATATTTTTCACACTGGCCTATAGTTATAGTATATGGTTCCCTTGTAGCACGGTTCAAAATGATCCATCCTTCTCCTTCAAGAGCTTGCCCATATCTTTCAGTCACAGAACTAGGGCACATTTGGGATGCAAAGTAGCTCTTTGTTCCTCCTTCCCAGTGAGTACTTAAAACAGATTGCACTGAAGAGAAGGACTTTTTAAGTACCAGCCAGATTGCACCAAAGTTCACAGTGCAGGCGGGGCCCATTGGCTGCTCTGCAACCGTCCAACTCAATGGAATTAAGCAGCACCTGGTGAGGGTCCAGATACAAGATTTAGGGTGTGATCAGAAATTGATACGACTCATGTTTTGGACCACTGGTGGCAGGATCTGGTTTGAACTTTTTTTCTGGCAATCAGTCAAAATACAGGAAATCCTGAAGCAGCTCAACTCTGCTCTTGCCCAACCTGGAGATTTTGATCCAGCAACAGAGCTACTGTTTATTTTTATTCTTAATTTTTGGAGCTGGGATGGAATGATCGAGACTAGATTGCATATATAGGGATGGGTCACTTTAAGGGAGATTCCACACAGTGAAATGACCCTTTCCAGTGTGATCCAATGTGATCTTATATTACCATCTGATTGTTTCCTTGATATGATGTTCTAAGCAACCATACCAAGATTCCTTTATTTTAAAAATTGTTATGTGAGTTGAAGATCTTGGAAAAGTTACTGTTTTGTACATGAAGTCCCAGAATCTACAAACCAGCCAGGCCACCTTGCTTGGAGATTCTGGGAGCAGTAGTAAAAAAACAGAGGGGAGTGCTTACAAAGAATCCTTTTTGTGCTCTGGAAATTGTGCCTTAGATGTTTTTTCTTTCTGGATCTGCACAAGAACTGAACATTCAGCTGCTCTATTGCACAGGATGCCAAGCTGGCCCGAAGCATTGATTAATATACTGTTTTGGAGCTGACATCACAAGAAAGCTCCTTGCTCTGAGAAAGTTCTGGTTAACCCCTTCTGGGCAGGTTAGCTGACATTAATAAAGAGCCTAAGGGCAGCTAATTATACCATAGAATCCCTTCCTTTCTCAACCAGAAAGCATCCTAAGAACATTGTTAACATCATACAAGGTCTACAGATGAATTGGGGCAAACGTGTAGATCAAATCAAAGCAGACCTGGCAACACGCTTTCTTTCCTAACATAACCTACTTTACAGGATTATTAAGCAGCTAAAAATGTATACAGTGGTGCCTCGCTAGACAGTTATCCTGCATGACAGTTTTTTCGCTAGACATTGGCTTTTTGCGATCGCTATAGCGATTCACAAAACAGTGATTCCTATGGCGGAATTTCGCTGGACAATGTTTGGTCCCTGCTTCGCAAACTGATTTTTGCTAGACTACGATTTTGATAGCTTCTGCTGCGCTCACAAACAGGTGTTTTCGGGACCTAAGCTTTGCAAGACAGTGATTTAAACAGCTGATCGGCGGTTCGCAAAGCAGCTTTCCTATGGCCGATCTTCGCTAGACAACTATGATTCTTCCTCATTGGAACGCTTTAAACAGGTTTCAATGCATTCCAATGGGGAAATGCTTTTCACTAGACAATGATTTCGCTAAACAGTGATTTCAGTGGAACGGATTATCATCGTCTAGCGAGGCACCACTGTAGCTTGTTTCTTACTCCCTGAGCTTCAAGGCAGATGGGATACAAATGCAGTTTATGCTTATTTTTCTTCTGTTCAGTTACTGAGTATTAAATGCTATGAATGACAGGTCTTTTTTGTAAAAAAAAAAGTCTGTAGGAAACCAGGAACTTTTCAGAAACAGTGGAAACAGATTTACAGACACTGTACCTAACTTGCATCAGTGATAGAGTTTATAGCTCATCCCCCTCTTCTTCAACTTATGTAGGGTCTTTTCTCACCTGAATCTTTCTTGTCCAGCTGTGTCCCAAAGTTGTAGCTTCACCTTGATGCCTGGGGGCAGCTCCATCACCTTGCTGTAAAACTCCACTCCCACAGTGGGACATGGGGATGGGACAAAGCATCTCTCCATGTAGCGCCTCAGCAAAGATGTTTTGCCCACCATGGAATCCCCCAGCAGAAGGATTCGGAATTGGTAGTGGCAGTTGTCATTTAGGCTTTGGACCAGAGACAGTGGTGCTGATGCCATCTCAGAACGTGGGGAAAGGACGCTACAGAAGGTTGTGCGGTCAGCCAAAGACCAGTCTTCTTGACACAGGCCAGTCCTTTTGAGAGAGACAGGCTGCTTGATTCCAGCTTTAGGAGAACTCGGGTTGGGTGAGAAGATTCCTCCACCGTTGTCGGCACATGAGCCTTCTCCTGCCCTTGTCCTTAAACAAAGAGAAGCCCGAGATATCTGATAAGGGAAGAACACCATCCTTCCCCACCCCTTTTTGCCCACAGAAACCATTCCATTCTCTTTTCACTTCTCTCCCACCCTAATGAAAAAGCCTGATATGTATCAGATTTTAGTCAAACACAAAAGAGAAGGACTGAGGGATGGTGCCAGGAGAGGGACAGCACACCGTCCTCCGATGATTAACCCTGTTCTCTTTGAACTGCCACTCAAGTCTGACTAACCCAGCATTTTAAGCATTGTGAGATAAAATTGCCTTTCCTTTAGTGATGATAAACGTAGGTCTTCATCCTAACAGGACTGAAAGGCTCTTGTGCCTGCACAGCTAATTTCTTGATCCAAAGGATGACAGACACTCCATCAACCAGATTTTAGCCTTGACTGCTTCTTCAGAGTGTTTAAGTCCAGACCAGTAATCATCTAGGCTCGTCCTGGAATCCCCACCCACCCCCCACCCCAGCTGAATTTCAGCTGAATCAGAGCCTCCTACCTTGTTGACTTCTAAAAAGCAGGAGGCGAGAGGGCAGCCCAAGGACCCAGCACCCCCCTCCTGCTTTCCTTTTGCGTCTCCAGGAGCAACTCCTCCGCCCCACGTGCTTCAGAAAAAGAGATAACACAGGTCTGGGATGAGATTCTGGTTGAGAGATCGAGCTTCTTCGCTTGCCCTCCTCCTTCTCTCCTCACTACCAGCCCTTATCTAATCAGCTCACCTGCCCCCAACAGTCATGTGCCTGCAATTTCCTTCAAATATTGTGGATGTTTGTCAGTTTGTCCTAGAATAAAGAATGTCTTGCTGCTATACCCATGGGTGGCACATAAGAGATTCTTTTTTAAAAAGGTTTGTATTTTTCTGTGTCACTGTATGCTTTGCTGTAATATGTATATCTGATTTGAAACATATACATCAATGCTGTGTCTTGTGCTTTAGTTTCCAGAAGCCCGTGTAGCAATGGTTTTCTTACTGTTGTCTGTTTTTCAAGCGCTGTATATTTACTTCTATTCGTAGTTGGCTCTGATGAAGATCTGTGGTTGTTTATTTCCATTAAGTCACCTCTGACTTATGAGGACCCTGTGAATGAGCCATCGCCAAAATGTTTTGTCCTCCACAGTCCTGCGCAGCTCTTGCAAGCTCAACCCTGTAGACTTATGAGGACCCTGTGAATGAGCCATCACCATTTTGTTTTGTCCTCCACAGTCCTGCTCAACTCTTGTAAACTGAAGCCTATGACTTCCTTTAGGGAGCCAGTCCATCTCGCATTTGGTCTTCCTCTTTTCCTGCTGCCTTCCACCTTTCCCAGCCTTATTGTCTTTTCCAGAGAATCCCGTCTTCCCATGATGTGCCCAAAGTAGGACAGCCTCAATTTCAAAATTTTTGTCTCCAGAGATCGACTGCTTGAAGGACATGTTCGTCTTTCTGGCAGTCCGGGTATCCACAAAGCTCTCCTCAAACACCACATTTCAAATAAATCATTTTTTTCCTGTCAGTTTTCTTTACTGTCTAACTTTCATACCCAAACATGGTGATTACAATCTTCCAAAACAGATTTCGTAATGTTAAACAATGATCACAAGCACTTTTTTCCTTCTCCTTGTGGTTTTATTTCTTGTTAAAATAGCTTTAGTCATGAGGGGGAAAAAAATAAGTTCAGCCTCAGCTATTCTTGAATGATTTAAAAAAACCCACTTTATTCAGTATGTTCTAGATTTTGTGAAGGGTCTGCAGCCCATTTTTTCTCTTTTTAATGAAAAACATAATAAGAAGTGACAAAGTTACCATAAAAGAAATATAACAAGTAGTGACAGATAAATTTTAGGTATAATAGAAAAAGTTGACCAATCTCAACAAAACAGACTGAATTGGCTCAAAAAACTTCGTAGGTTTAACTTCCAAGTAATAACTTTAATAAAACAATAAAAGATCAAGCTTTCAACAGGAAAACACATCCTGTCATCTTCAGGATATATTTTCCTGTCGAAAGCTTGGTCTTTTATTTATTTATTAAAGTTTCTACTTGGAAGCTCAGCTTATGAAGTTTTTTGAGCCAATTCAGTCTGTTCGGGGATTGGTCAACTTTTTCTATGATGCTCCAAGAAAGCAAAATGGCTTTTTATTCAGGTATAATATTGGGGGGGGGGGACTCCCTAACTGTTAGAGCAGTATGGCAATGGAACCAATTACCTCAAGAGGTAGTGAGTGTTCCAACACCGGAGACATTCAAGAGAAATTTAGGCAACCGTCTGGCAGATATCCTTTGATTTGTATTCCTGCACTGAACAGGGGGTTGGACTAGGTGGCCTTATAGGCCCCTTCCAACTTCATGATTCTATGATTCTGTAATGTTTCTAAAAGTTACTTTAAATTAGGTATTTAAAAAGTTACTTGAATTTGGGTATTTTTAGAAGCATGAGAATAACCTCTTAAAGTGCAAAGCGAAACAGTTGTTCCAAGCTGGTCCAGTTCAATACCAGATCCGTCCCAGCAAATTGGTTAAGGTAGCTTCCAGTTTGGTCTTAGAGGAATGGCACACCCGGCTGTGGACAACAACCAGCAAAAAGTTATATAGTAACACTTTGCAGGATTCACTGCTAGTGTAATCAGTTTCAACAGGCGAAGGACATCCTTTTCAGACGCTAAATGATTCCAGATGATTTTAAAAAGCCAATCAAAATTTGGAAGAAATGGTAGCTGTCTGGATTAAAGTTCCTAGAGAAACACAAAAAAGTGTAAGGAAGAGCTAAGACAGCCAAGACGTATCTGCCTCTAACAAAAGCCAAAGGAGTTAAAATCCTTCCCATCATGTTCTTTCATGTTGCTGGAGCTTCTGCATTTATTTGCTAAAGGATCATTCTTGGTTTTACATGCACCCCACCTGCCAACAAGGAGTTTGCAAGCTAGCAAGATCAAACTTCTTTCTCACATGCACTCTGAAAGGATATCTGTGGAAGCCAACAAAGTCACAGAAAGGCTACTGTCTCATCTTCTCCATCCGTGAAAGTTTGTCAGGAGATGAAATGAAAAGCAATGCTATTATGTTACTTCCATTTCTCTATCTTTGTATACCCAGAAACATTCCTCTGCATACAAAGTGTTACTGTATCCCCAAACAAGAGGCTGAACTATACAGGTGTTTAGCCCAGTTTGGTCCACTCCAGGGATGGGCTGGTTTGCTTCTAAAGACAGCAACTGGACTATGACTTTGCTGGAGCAACCCAGCCCCCCCCCCCATGAGCAGCCCTAATTACATTTTTCTGCCCCCTGTCAGAGGTTTTGACTTCTTTTGGTGCAGGTATGAGTGCTCTGTTTTAGTCCATTTCCAGAGCATGTGATCACTGGAAACAGACCAAAAACCTCTCTCTCTCAATTTGCCAATATCACTTCAGGATATTAACTAATTAAACACTTCCTCTGCTCCTTGGTGGAGAGGCAGAGGAGGTGATTTTTTTCCTTAGCCTCCATTAGAAAAGCAAAAATGTGCTGCATCAGTTATTTTTTTAAAAAAAATCATTTCTTTTCCTTGTCTCAAAGGACTGGTCGATAAACTGCCCATAGCTGAATTGGCTGCAATGGCAGTTTCTCAACTGACCCTTTAAGACAAGGGAAGAAATATATTTGTGTACATGTATGTGTATTTGGATGCATCAGGCTCTTGGTCATGCCTTTAAGTGGAGTTTTAGAAGAGGTAGCCTAGTATGGACTATTTATTTATTTATTTATTTATTTATTATTGCATTTATACCCCACCTATCTAGTTGAACGATCACTCTAGACTAGCATATCAAAAAACCCACAAAACAAAAATAAAAATAACGAAGACAAAAACGTTGTGGCACCTTATGCTATATTTTAATGTGAGCTTTTGTGGACAAGTCTAGCTCTTTTTATTTTATTTATTTGTACACTGCCTTTCTCCCCATAGGGGGACCTAAGGCAGCTCAAAGGTCTTAGGTACGTGTATTAGGTATAAACATACCTAATACACTTCTTTTAAAGATCACTTGTAATCTGAAATTATGGGTAGTAATGCACAAATGTCTCTAATTATAGCTTAGTTGAATATAGTTGACAATAATCTATTTAAAAGGGAACAAAAGGAATTAATTATTTTTATGATAACAGTGGCAAGGTTGATATTTGCAAAGAATTTGAATATTAATAATCATCTTAATATCAAGGAATAGTATCTTTTAAAGATCACTTGTAATCTGAAATTATGGGTAGTAATGCACAAATGTCTCTAATTATAGCTTAGTTGAATATAGTTGACAATAATCTATTTAAAAGGGAACAAAAGGAATTAATTATTTTTATGATAACAGTGGCAAGGTTGATATTTGCAAAGAATTTGAATATTAATAATCATCTTAATATCAAGGAATAGTATAAAGGAATACAAGGTTGATATTTGCAAAGAATTGGAAGATTAATAATCAACTTAATATGGAGGAATGGTACAAAGGAATATGGAATATGGGTATCATTGATAAACTAACCTGTGAAACCAACATTACAAAAGGAATATTGAGTACAAATGGTTTTAAAGAAATATGGAATTTATTTTTGGTACTTGTATTTGAGAAAGGGAAAGGTTAAGCTCCTGGAGATGAATCAATATATTTCTAGAAGTAAATGTAGGGTTACAAAACATCAAATAAAATATAAATATAAATTAGTCCTGAGGGTGCTGGGGAGCATAGAGTTGAAAGTGAATGTTATAATTGTGTTTCTTGTTTATTTCTTTTTAAGTTATATCAGTGGAATTTTATGTGTTGTTAGATTTAAAAATATTTTAATTAAAAGAACAGTAATAAAAATATCGCTTGTAAAACATATACTTGCATACATTTTAAACAGCAGATCGAGCAGGGTCACTTGAGGTCAGAATGAAAGGATCACACCAAGTTTGCTTTATTTGTGTAAAATATGTATAGGCTACCTTTCTCCTAATGGCTTACAGCATTAAAAGAAAAAAAAACAGAAGCTAAAATAATAAATGATCACAATGTTTAAAAAGAATTATACAAATATCATATTAAAACATTATAAGCAAGAGCAATACAAGTAAAACAACAGCTTGGGATACCAGACCTCCTAGCGACCTTGTTAAGCCTGTTCCAGCCTAATCCAACCCAGCCATATCGACAAGCCACTTGTGACCATACCCTGGTAAGCAAGAAGACTGCAGAGGCAGTTCGAGAGGCAATGAATGGCGTGTTCTGCTACTCACATTTAGCTAGATCTGATGCTGTCCTGTAAGAGTCTGTAACTAAGACTGAAGATTGTACAAGATGAAACAATGGCATGCTGCTTGTCTATGCACTGTTGCCTCTAGTTCATTTCCTTTTCATCCTGTTATATTTGAGGCTGTAAGCTCCTTGGGGCAGGGACCTCTATTTTTGTACTGTACTCCATGAAGCACCATGCA